CTTTTCCATGGCCTGTATCCAAGGAAGGCTGAGACCTGACCGGCCGATGGCATGTTTCTTGTCCCTGAGTACCTGTGCTCTCTGGTACACAGGTACGTTGATACGTGCAACGTGGGTTAGGCGTGTAGCGGCATATAAAATCTTAGATGGTTACAGCAACATCTGCAGCACATACATAGCTTCAAACACACATACCAGGCGCGAAGCTTAAAGGCTAGCTTGGATGAATCACAGCTATAGTGGGAGGCTGGGCACGAGCTGCATTGCTGCTCTGAGGATGGTGCAGCTGCAGCTACAGCAGGTTGCTCTTGTCTGCATTGGCCCAACTCTGCATGTGCTAGCTCCTCCTGCTTGGACGGAGTCTTATCTGCAGCTGCCTCTGCTTGCTGCTGTTCAGAAGCACTGCCACCACTGCCACCACCGATGCCACTACGGCTGTCACTGCTATTGCTGCTGTTGTCACGGCTGCTGCCGCTGCTGTGCCTGCTGCTGCTGCCACTGCTGCCATGGCTGCAGCTGTGTCTGTGGCTGCGGCTGCGGCTGCGGCTGTGGCTGCAGCTGCGGCTGCGGCTGCTGCTGCGGCTGCGTCTGCGGCTGTGCCTGTGCCGGTGGCTGCGGCTGCGGCTGCGGCTGTGGCTGTGGCTGCGGCTGCGGCTGCGGTTGCCACTGCCGCTTCCGCTTCCGCTGCTGCTGCCGTTGCCGCTGCCGCTGCTGCTGCTGCTGCCGCTGTCGCTGCTGCTGCTGCTGCCGTTGCCGCTGCCGCTGCTGCTGCTGCTGCCGCTGTCGCTGCTGCTGCTGCTGCCGCTGCCGCTGCCGCTGCCGCTGCAGCTGCTACTCACCAGGCCACCATCCATCGTGGCGCCCAGCTCAGCTGCAGGTCCACCATCCAAAGCCTGCTGCATACGCATCAGCAGGCAAAATCATGTCCATGGCATTGCTGTCATTGATATGGGCTAACGCATGTCACAAACATGACACTGTTGGTCAGTAAGAGTGTCATATATGGTGAGCACAGGCAAAAGTTGCTACTAAGGGACATGAGGTGCTACATCATATACATGGTCAGGTACTTTTTACAACCCTGCCTCTGGCATAGTCCTTGCATGCTTTTGTGGGGTATTGGTCCTCTGGCAATGCAATGGCCACCCACAGGGCCAGCTTCCCGACGTGTATACCGTGAATGAAAATGTTGACTTCCATACCATGAGTCTGCTGCACTGACATTCTGTAGTATCCTGGGTGTATCAAGGGATAATTGTAAAGACATCCATCACATGTACTCCTGTATGCCACTATAGCCTACCATGGTCCACACCTGCTTGTTCTCCCTGATGTACTGCAGGTATTCCACTGGGCCCAGGTAGTGACGCCCCATCCTGCAGGCAGCATCACAAATCACGGGGATCAATGCTCACCATGTATGGACAAGGAAAACGAAGTATGCTCAGGCACGACACAGTGACAGTGCAACATCCCTTACACAAGGTTTGACAATGAATACACCTTACCCGCTTATTTACGGCCGCGCTGGCAGCGATCACGAATTGGCGACAGAATCAGAATGTGGCGAAGATGCTCGTCTTCAAGCTTGCCTGCTTCATTGCCTCCCTTCCTTCACATCCACGGGTGAAACTCGTCTTTCAAGGGCATCACGGTCTGGCACCAGTCGATGCGTCCCCAACAAGCATATATGATATGGAATTCAAAGATGGCAACGGCAAAGTAAGGACGCTGATCGTCTTTTTGCTGTCATGAAGCCCGTGACGGGAGACA